GTGGGGTATCTCTTCATGGCTGCTCCAGCAAAGCGCAGCCGCTGCTCCTTACCTTGGACGAGGGGTATCTTCTCACGGCTGCCCCTCCTGACCTTGAACGTGGAGTAGTGCTAGTTTAAATATAGTTAGTGTATATGAGGATTTCCCTGGTGGCTCAGACGGTAATGAATCTGCCTGCAATGCAGGAGACCTGTGTTCGATCCCTGAGTGGGGAAGATCCCATGGGGAAGGGAATGGCTACCCATTCCAGTATTCTTGCCTGGAGGATTCCATGGACAGAGGAGCCTGGCAGGCTGCAGTCCACGTGGTCCAAGGAGTTGGACACCACTGAGTGACTAACACACACACAGAGTGTATATTAGTATCTCAGACAGTACTGTTGATGAATTTTACTTTGTTTTACATTTTTGCCTCACATAAGAATGGCATTTTTAAAATGTCTTAGAAAATTGGTAAACTATAGGTTTATACTACGGGCAGAAAATTAGATCGGATGTGGCTAGGTTAAAAATATAAAACTTGTCTCTTTAAACTTGTATGTCTCTTGACATACTTTAGGCTATGAGGATACTATGAAGAAGTAAGTACTTATTGCAAACTGTCTCCTTGGGACATATTTATACTTCAAACAATATTAAGTGATTTATTTCATGTCATGAGCACAAGTTCTGACTAGTAGTCAGAACCAGTGGGCTTACTTTTCTGTATTTGTCCATCTTTTTCCATTCGTGATCTCCTCCATCTTGTTTTGGTTAGATTACATGAATAGTACCTTAATTGGTATCATGTTACAGTTTTCACCCAAAGCCTTGTCTCATTCTTCTCCTGTGGGTATAGACTTGGATACAAAATGTTTCAAATGTTGTACTGGCTTTATGCTCCTGTTGGAGTTGCTGTCCCTCTATGGGACAGTGTATATTTACTGACTATTCTTTGTAGGTTTCTCTTATCGCCTGGCTGTGTTACCTGTCATTCCATGGACATGTGGAAGGGAGCCAGATAACACCATAAGATAGAATATTTCAATATTCTAGAAATGGCAACTAGAGCTTCTCAATATTAGTGACCTCCAATTCCAAAGACTATTCTGGCAAATTTTTGGCAACGGAGGTTTTCCGAGGCAGGAGTAAAATAAACTATCTAAAACTCGTAAGAAGAGAGAAAAGTCATTCTTTCTCCTCTCTGTTTTAGAACCAGAATTGATCTCCAGCTGTGAAACAAGATACAGGCTTAATGATATTTGAGGCCAGTGCCCACTCAGGCATGCTGCACCAGCTAAATGTTTTAAATATTACCTCTCTTTAGAAAATAGATCATAGTGATGTTTCTTAAGCATAAATGCTAAAGTAAATGGTAAACTTGTTTAATGTTAATAAGGAAAATTAATAGTAATTTTGAATTTTTTTATGATGGATAGCATACTTTTTCTTTTTACTTCTTGGAGCAGGACATAATACCTGAAAATTTGCTAGCACCAACAGAAAAATATAAAGTAAAACATCAGCAATACAAAATTGAAATGAAAGGGGGATACAAACAACACAGTCAGAGAAATGCAGAAAAGGCAAAGTCAAGTATCACACATCAACAGTCTCCAAGAAACAAGACAGATGACAAGGTAATGTACGAGGCTTTACAAAACTGTAATAGAATTTAAAGAAAACAGTATATGTATGATAGAAGCATCTTTCTGCCTGATATATCCTGTTGTTAGTCATAATAAAGTGTAATAGCTAACACTTACTTCTGTGTATCAGGGACTCTCTTTAACTATTTTACTTGCATTAACTAGTTTATTCTTCACAACAACTTAAATGGGTTATTTTCAGATGGGAAAAATTTAGCCATATGACCTAATCGTCTTTTCTCTGTAGTTTTTCACTTGCCTTGGGTTGGAAATAAGACAGTATTACGTATCTGTTTCTGACGAAACTGTTTTGAACTCCATTGTTCTCACTTTAAAGAGTAAACTTTAAAGTTGAAAAGTGGTTTCAGACTTTAAAGTGACCCTGTTTTATTTTGAAACTGTCATCACTCTATGATTGTTTTCTAGCTGAGTTTGGGAGATACTTTTAACATCATGAATTGCTGAAGCTGTTATATTTTAATTTAATCTTAATTAGATATAAACTCACCATTCATGAATATAAGAGCAAATTAAACATAATAAATTCAATGGCATTTCACAAGCATATAAAAAAGATGAACCTTGAATTTTAGAAAGGTTTGAAAGCATAGTTTATGACACTACTGATCATAAAGAAAGAGCACTTAGATACAATTCTTCATTCAGTTAACTTTTAATAAGAATAATGTGTTTTCAGGGAAGTTTAATAGTTGTATTTACTTAGCATTTACTGTTGAGTAAAAAGATTAAGTTGTAAAATCTTTCTAAAATTCAAGTTTAACCTTTCTGGTATGCTTGTGAAAAGCCATTAAATTTATTATGTTTACTTTGCTCTTGTATTCATGAATGGTGAGTTTATACCTAAATAAGTTGTAAGTAGATGTGGCATATCAGCTTTATTTTTTCTAATCCATGTAGAGACTATCTGGAACTCACTAAAACCCATGGTATTTAGCTAAAAGAGTAACAAAAGTTATGGGATTATTTGGTCATTTTTATTTTAAAACTAATTTTCCAGATTCAAACAGATATACATAAATATAGTATTCTAGTGTCTGTAATAGCAGATAGGATAATTTCATAACTGTTTAGCACCTGGGTGTGTAGTATCTGTAGGATCTACCATGTGATATTTAGATCATTGTAATAATCTTGGGAAAACAGAATGAAAGTTTCTATAAGTGCATACTTTCCTTTCATAGCAAAACAATTCAAATAGTTTTAAAGTAAAACCTTGATACCCTTGAACACAAGTTCAAATGAGGATGCTTGTTTACTTTTGGTTTAAGAGAAGATACATATTGTTTGCAAATCTTACCATATGAATGAATAAGGGTTTTATAAATAGCAGCCAGCATTTCCATATTTTCTTTTGGAGAATATCTTGTTTTACTTTTTTAACCTACATATTAGAAGTTTAATATGTTTTTGGTAGTCTCACAAAAATATCCCTGGTTTTCTATATATTCTATATATAATAATCTTGTACTTACAGAGTTTGAGCAACTTATCTGATGTCATTTTAAAAGTACACTCTTATTAGAACCAAAACTGCTGTATAAATTTGCTGTTACTAAATCCTATTATAATTACATGAATTACCACTGGGATATTAATCTCTAGAAACAAAAAGATCCCTGATATCTGAAACATAGCCCCTTTCTAAAGCAGGGAGTCACATGCAAATTGATTCTCTTTGCTGATAAAGAAAAGCTAAAGTTAGATGTATTCAGAATCCAAGACAATAACTAGAGGCTATAGCTACTAACTAAATAAGCTGATACATCAATCAATTGATAATATCAAACAGTAAAATAGTTCCACTCTGCTTGATTCTAAAGGCAAATTTCCTGTTTTGAGCTTTCCTTCCATTTAGTAGAAAAGGTGATGAATCTCACTGTCAAATTGTTTTATCATGTAAAATGTAAATTTATCTGTATTTGTGTGGGTGGGTATATATATTTTTAAAGTAATGAAATACCTTTAAATTAAACACTGAAAATCAAACTTCAATTTTATAGGAAATAATATTAATTACCAAATTAATATTAATTAATTGTACTTATGTTCAGTTCTGTTAAGTTCAGTTCAGTCACTCAGTCGTGTCCAACTCTTTGTGACACCAAGAACCGCAGCACACCAGGCCTCCCTGTCCATCACCAACTCCCAGAGTCTACCCAAACTCATGTCCATTAAGTCGGTGGTGCCATCCAACCATCTTATCCTCTGTCATCCCCTTCTCCTCCTGCCCTCAATCTTTTCCAGCATCAGCGTCTTTTCCAACGAGTCAGCTCTTGGCATCTGGTGGCCAAAGTATTGGAGTTTCAGCTTCAACATCAGTCCTTCCAATGAACAACCAGGACTGANGCTTTGGCATAGTCAATAAAGCAGAAATAGATGTTTTTCTGGAACTCTCTTGCTTTTTCAATGATCCAGTGGATGTTGGCAATTTGATCTCTGGTTCCTCTGCCTTTTCTAAAACCAGCTTGAACATCTGGAAGTTCATGGTTCACGAATTGCTGAAGCCTGGCTTGGAGAATTTTGCGCATTACTTTACTAGCATGTGATCATTCCAAATATAACTTTTTTCACTAACTCTATAAAAAGACAAAAAACCTACCAACTCATTCATTGTTTATTCTTTCAAAAATAGTTATCTAATGTTTCATGATATGCAAGGTACCTTTCCAGGCACTGGTGATAAGTCAGTGACTAGAACAGACAAATATTCCTTCTCTTGCAGGAAAAAAAAAAACAAAAACGAATGAATGAATCAGTTGGGTAGCCATTCCCTTCTGCAGAGGATCTTCCTGATCCAGAGATGAAATCGGGATTTCCTGCATTGCAGGCAGATTCTTTATCATCTGAGCCACCAGGAAGTCCTCTACTATGACAGATGATGATAAATGCTATGAGTAGAAGGAAACTTGGAAAGCCAAGGTTGGGGTTGTAGTTTGTAAGGGATCATCAGAGAAGATCTTTACCTTAAGGTAGCATTTTAGGGCACATTCAAAAGGGGTACGAGGCAAGCCAGTTAGAAGAAACTCTCAGTGTCATGAAGTAGGAGTGGGCCTGGAGTATTTAAGAAATATTAAGAGCAGTGTGATGAGAGAGAAGAGCAAGGGAGAGGTGGGAGGAGATTTTTTCAGTGAATTAAAGGGTAGCAGAGGCTGGGAGGCAGATCGGAGAGGTCTTGTAGACCGCTTCAAGGCTTTGCCTTCTATTCCATTTTGTTGAGAATGGGTTTTGCTGCGGAGGCTATCCCATAATCCAGGCAAGAGATAAGGATGCCTGCTTGGACCCAGGTGGTTGTGGCAGATTTGGATAAGAAGTGGTCACAACGAGAAGTTCGATTCTAGACAGTTTCTGAAGGTAAGGCTCAGAACATTTGGTGATGGATTGGCTTTAGGCTTGAGAGAAAGGAAAGATGAAAGATGGCTCTAAGGCTTTTTGAGCTGAGCAGTTCAAAGGGTGTATTTTTCATTAACTGGACTGGGGGATATCATAGTGAAGTCTGATTTGGGGAGGTTAAGTCTGGGATGCCAAGTAGAAAAGCCACTGTTTCCCTTGGGTAAAAGACTGAAAACAAGTTGAAATAAAATAAGATGCCTTTGAAAGTTTCCTCCAACCTATACGTAATGCAGAACCTGGCTTATACTGAAACATGTCTATTAATTTAATCTTTCTTAAATTTACCTTATATAATGTTAAACATCTTTCTGGTGACTGTCAAATCACTATTTAGGAAAAACAGATATTAGTGGGTAAATAAATAAAATTATAAAGTATCCTCATAAATTTATTTCTCAATAGTACACACTTAAGATTTATTATTCATTCATTGGATACATATATAGTGCTCACTACATGTGGTCCTGCTCTGGCACCAGGGATCCTGCAATGAAAAGACAGACAAGGTTCCTACCCTCGTGGAACTTATAACAGGAGAGGCAGGCAACAAATCATAAACAAATGTATAATAAAGTTTCATGTAGCAATCAAAGGTCATGGAGACAGCGAAGATTATGAAGATGAAATGTGACCTTTCAAGGAAAATCTAAAGTAAGAACAAGCCCTGGGGAGATATACTTGTAATCTATTACATTTTTGATAAGTTGCCATCCTATTGGAGCATTATTTTTTGTTACGCTCATATAAACACATCTAATATTCAGAGAAAAATTTAGCATTTATCTCATTAGAATCCTGTTAAAAGTTCAGAAATAGCAGACATAAAACCAATGGATCACCAAAGCAGTCATTAGTAAAAGTTTTGTGTACACACCAAAAGGTCAGTTCGTGAACCGGAAGTACTCAGATTAAACATGGAAAGAGACCCAGGGAGCTATTGTTGTAAAGCAGTTTACATAGTGAGGAGGCAGTGACTGTTTATGCTCCACAGTGATTGGTTATAATACAAGAATTTTCTTAAATGATAAGGGATTAGTTAGTGGTTACTTCATATCAGTTTGGGGGAACAGTTTAAGTTTCACTTATGATTTCTAGACACATAAGCAGGAAGTAACCCTGGTCAAGTTAGTCTCACCTGTCTTGTAAAATAAGCTAAATTAAGCTTTGCTTGTATGACTAAACTGGTATTGTCTGCTCAGGGAATTTTGAAGGCTGGTTTCTGTTTGTGTTGGATTTTAACAGTCCCAAAGGATACACCCATATATTAGTATCACTTTACTTGTGAACTTAGCTTTGTAAAGGAATGACATGCCCATATTTATTAACTTTACAAAGACTCAATTGGACAACTATAGTTATAATAGTTGCTATTTTTTATGTAATGCTTATCATATGTCAGGTACTTCTGATATGTGTTGGCCAGGTATCACCTCATTTAATCGTTTTTTTTGAGTACAAAAGAGTTACTAATATTAATTGCCATTTTATTTATGAGTAAACCGAGGCACAGAGATGTCATGTAGCTAGAAAGTGGGAGAGCTGGATTCAATAGGCGTTCTGATTTTCAGAGCCTATACTCTTAATCTGATGTATCCAATCATTGTTTTAGTCTTTATGTTATTAAAAAGAAATATTCTAAGCATGCACATGAGGGTTCACTTATTGCTTCACATCTAGTGTGTACAAGGTGCAGAAGCCATCCCAGATGATCTGACAACTTTGGACAGGAAAGCCCTCCTACAGCAGGGTTATGCAGACAACCCTCACATCCTCCAACGGAGCACAGGAAAATCTGATGCTGTAAGTTATTGGTACTTTTACTGATTTGATAAACTGTTAAGATAATTTGCCCTCTGAAATTTTATAGCCTTAAATTTGAATAAATGATTCCAACAGTTGAAGCTGGACTGAGGTGAATAGTCATTAATATGCCAGGTTCAGTCCTCACTCTTACCATGGATTGACGGTTGGTATGTTTACTGCGGAAAAGTCATCTTGAATCCTTGGAAGTTTGTCAAAATTTAGTTTACACTGTTCAGACTGTTAACTGACCACGATGACAATGGGCTAATCTGGTCTCACTCCTTTCCCCACAAAGAAGTAGCTGGATAATCTTTTTGTTTTGAAAATCATAAGCTAATAAAACTAAAGGGCAGGGGTAAAGTAATTTTTCTTTAGGAAAAGGGAAACAAAGCTCTAGGCTCAATATTAACTTTAAATTATATCTTTTACAAAAACAATGAGATTTCTTAATGAGTATTACTTAGACTGGTTACTGTACAAATAGATAATTGTAGCATTTCTATAATGTCCGGGCATGTGCAGACCAAGCTGCTTGGAGTTGGAGGCCACTGGCTCCCTAGACACTCCCAGGTGATTAATACCTCAGGTACACCTGTAATTGATTGATGGGCTATCAGTGTGTGTTGGTTTAAAATTGAGAAAATTCTGCTTTAGATGGCCTAAATAATAATAAAGCAACCGTGGATTTAGCTACATACATTATCACTGAGTGGATACTCAAAATAGATTTTATTTGGATAGCAATCATCCTGAATCAATACATTCTGAACTGACAGCAAGATGTAATCAATCTCTGGGTCAGGTGGACTGATTTTCTGCAGACGTCCCAAGTTGGTAATTTGTTTGTTTATTAAAAATCACATGTACATTAATTTGTATGCCTATTATTATATAGATGTTTATACCTAATAGAACAAGGAGTATTACCAGGATTGTAAAAAAATTTAAAAATGTTCCTTGTAGGGCAAAGTTGTGTCCCAGATAAGGCATACTTTGGTATATTTCTAAAGTATACTCTTTGGGGGCTTACCTGGTGGCTCAGATGGTACAGAATCTACCTGCAATGCAGGAGGCTCTGGTTTGATCCTTGGGTTGGGAAGATCCCCTAAAAAGGTAACGGCAACCTACTCCAGTTTCTTGACTGGAGAATTGCATGGATGGAGGAGACTGGCTGTCTACAGTTCACAGCGTCACAGAGTCAGACATGACTGAGCAACTTTCATTTTTCACTAAAGTTATACTTGAATGGATGTTATTAAATACCTAAGGCCTTTTGGCTACTGCTGTTAGTATAATCCAGAGCCATCTAGGTGTTTGTGGATTTCTTTTCCCATTGAATTACTTTCTTGTGGCATCACATCTAAATTCACCGTCAAGCACATTTTACTCTATTGTGGTACACCCCTGTATCACTATTTTAAAGCAAATGTTTTACGTGAGTAAATCTTGAATGCATCTGAAATTAGCATCAATTTACTTTTTAAATGTAGGTGGAAACTTTTCAACTTAGTGTTTAACTAAATGAACAACAGAAGCAGTGAACCTATGGTTTTTATATCCATCTCTTCCACTTTGTCATTTTTCAGTTGCATTTGTGTGATTTCTGCTTCTAATCTGCCTTCTGTTTACACAGCTCTCTAAATCAATGTGTCTGAGGGTGGTTCTAGCCTTTCCTCCAAAGTATAAGCCACCATAAATGTCAACACCCACGGTGCATGTTCTCCGGGGACTCTATACTCGTCAATGTCACCTCTCTCGCTTGCTTCTGTGTTTTACAACCATTTTCTGACTGATATGGAAATCACTGATGATTTCTACCAAAATTTAACGGTATTCAGTTCAGTCGCTCAGTCGAGTCCGACTCTTTGTGACCCCATGAATTGCAGCATGACAGGCCTCCCTGTCCATCACAAACTCCCGGAGTTTACNGAGTTTCAAACAAGGGTATAGGGAGAACTTCTCTTATTCAAATTTTAAAGGTACTGCTGCTGCTGCTGCTAAGTCGCTTCAGTCATGTCCAGCTCTGTGCGACCCCATAGACGACAGCCTACCAGGTTCCTCCGTCCCTGGGATTCTCCAGGCAAGAATACTGGAGCAGGTTGCCATTTCCTTCTCCCGGGGATCTTCCTGACCCAGGGATGAAACCCACATCTCCTGTGTCAACTGTGTTGCAGGCAGATTCTTTCCCTGCTGAGCCACTGGGGAAGCCACTGGGGAATGATGATATGGTAATCTCTATTTAAGAAAGAAATTGAAAGTGTTTAATTTATGTTTCAGGACTCTTGTGTTAACTATAGTGTTCTGCTTTATGGACAATGGCGTTTTCTTTATTTTCTCTTCTCAGGAATTTGTGGCTGCAGAGAGGAAGAAACAGATGGTTGCAGAGCAAGTGATGATAGACCACTTATCCAGGTAAGCGTTCATAGAGATCCATTCAGAAAGCACTCGTTACATTTCCTTTGTGTACATGACATCTGCGTTGGCATGGTCAACTCAGAGGTTTCCATACTTGCTCTGTTTACTGCATTTGTAGGGGTTTCAGTGATTATTTTTTCCACCAGACTCCTTGTCCAACAGAAATACTTAACAGTTCTATTTACTAAGTATTTTTTGTCTAAATAGCTTAGTAAGTATTTTCTTCCTAATAACTTAATGGTCATCTGAAAAAATAATACAAATTGAAAAAAATGTTTTACTTCTTTAATAAATAGGCAATTACTCACTAATGGGACATATGCACTCCTTGGATGACAAATAATCTCTCAAATCTTAGAATTGTATAGAATGTGGCCACTCTCACTTTCTAGTCCACATGGCACCTGCTTTTTATCACAGCAACTGTAGAAAAGCCAGTTTTGCAAAGATATGCTATCGTTCATTGATGGAGTGTCATGTGGTATTTTGCTGAAGCTGTGAATTACTTGGAGCTAGTAGATTTTGTGGTATCCCACAATTATGAAGTATCACTATTTCCCTCAAAACCTGAAAATATCCAGCAGTGTTCCTTTGCCTTCCCTGTGACACCCGAGTGTGACTCAGTGCAAGTTTGGGAACTGTGGGATTGTCAGGAGTTTTAAAGCCTAATGTAAAACTTCACAACTCTTAGAAAACTAGATAAAGTTTCAATACCTACTGTGCTAAATTGCATGAATATGTAAGTAATGCAGGATTTCAGAAGAGGCTGGAATAGTCTAGGAAGTCTTCACAGCAGAGGTAAGACTCAAGGTTAGCTTTGAAAAAGATAACTACTTAGTTAGTTGGCAGAGAAAAAGAATGATAGTCTACATGCATGTTTCTTAAGTTAATTTTTTGACACAGTTTTGCTTCAGAAATCTTCAGTATTTCTCCTTTTATTACCTCATGAAACGACTTTACATTTTTACTCCCAAAATGCCACGGCAGTGTCTCTTCCCAAGATAACTAGTGACATCCATACTGCTGGTTAATGGCAATTTCCTGATTCTCAGTTACTCACCCCATCAGTGCCATCTGCTGGGCTGAGAGCTTTCTTATCTTTGAAGCACTTTCTTTTTCCTCCTTGGCTTCTGGCATACCGCACGTGGCTGGTTAATCCTCCTACTTTCCAATCCTCAGCCTCCTTTCTCAGTTCCTCTTCACCTCTCCTATCTTTGTACACAGGCATACACACACAAGGACTTCTACTTCTTGGACTTCTCCTTTCACTTTCTAGGTGATTTCATCCAGTATCGGGTCTTCAGTAACCATCTCTATGCTGATGCTGCACTAATCCAAATCTCAAAGTAACGCTGGAAGATGTTACTTTGGTTTCTGAAAGTTGTTCTCTTTCCTTTCCTCATTATGAAATCCCCTTTAGTTTTCTTCCATGGCAACAATATTCTTCAAGCTCAGTCCATCAGTTCAGTGGCTCAGTCATGTCCGACTCTGCAACCCCACCGACTGCAGCACCGCCAGACTTCCCTGTCCATCACCAACTCCCAGAGCTTACCCAAACTCATGTCCATCGAGTCAGTGATGCCATCCAACATTCTCATCCTCTGTTGTCCCCTTCTCTTCCTGCCTTTGATCTTTACCAGCATCAGGGTCTTTTCTAAGCAGACAGTTCTTCATATCAGGGTGCCAAAATATCAGAGTTTCAGCTTCAGCATTAGTCCTTCCAGAACATATTCAGAACTGTTTTCCTTTAGGATGGACTGGTTTGATTTCCTGGCAGTCCAAGCAATACTCAAGAGTCTTCTCCAACACCATAGTTCAAAATCATTAATTCTTCAGTGCTCAACTTTCTTTATAGTCCAAAACTCACATCCATACATGACAACTGGAAAAACCATAGCTTTGATTAGACAAATGTTTGTTGGCAAAGTACTGTCTCTGCTTTTTAATATGCTGTCTAGGTTGGTCATAACTTTCCTTCCAAGGAGGAGGTCTTAACTTTCCTTCCATGGAATATTACTCAGCCATTAAAAAGAATTCATTTGAATCAGTTCTAATGAGATGGATGAAACTGGAGCCCATTATACAGAGTGAAGT